TTTGTGTATTCATCATCAGTACAGTCTTTAGAATATAATCTATAATACTGTTCGAAAATGATCCTATTAGTGCTTGTTTGAACACCAACAATTTGGGGAAAGATCCAATTCGATTAAGTGAATTACCTGTAATGAATATGTTTTCATTCAAAAAGTCTCCCATTATAATAATGCTAATATCTATAGATAAAGGGTGGCTGATGGTCGGTGTAGTACTGATATATAATATAATTTAATGATGACAAATCACTTGGCTATTTAAGTAAAAACTAAATAATAATAAAATAAAATGTTGGCAGTTTTGTTATTGATTAAAAAAAAAACTTAAGAAAAAAATGTGTTACTTGAAATAGAGCTGAAATAAAATATTAGATGAAAAACTGAGCGAAAATTAGTTGCCTTGCAACTAACTGATAATAATAATTGTAAGTTGAATTACTAATATTACTAACTGAAATAAAACTTAAACTAAAACCAAATTTAAAATATTTAGGAATATTTGAACAATGACTAATAAAATTTACAAAATGAATAATGAACCAAAAATGTTTGTAATACTGTTCAAATCTATTGAAAATCTAATTCAGAATATTAATAAAGTATATACATGAAACTAAAATAATACTGTTTCAGATAATAATGTTTTAGTTTTTAAGTTAATAAGTTTAAGTACTAAAATTACTAATATAAAGCTTGAACTAAAACTTGAGTAGAACTTAAATAAAACTATTCACAAATATTTGACCAATGACTAATAAAAATGAATAATGCGCAAAAAAAAAAAAAATTATTATTGCTATTCAATTAGATTGAAAAGCTAATTCAAAATATGAATAAAACATTGAAGTTATAAGTTTATAAGTTTAAGTTGAACTACTAAAATTACTAACTAAAACTATAATTGAAATTTTATAATTGAAACTATGTAGAAGTATGTGAACAATAAAAATTAATAATGGACAAAACTAATACAAATGACAAAAGCAAGCAACATTACTGAATTAGGCTATTAAGGCTATGTGGTCTTACAGTTTAGTCAAAAGTAAGAACATTTGTTTAGGAAGTCATTATTGTCTGTGGCAACATTCGGGAAAGATAACGTTGCTCCTCTGTTTTGTTCTTGCGCAGTCACGGTTGTATGAGGAACCTCATAGATTTCTTCGAGCTGCGCTGCTGCGGTCTGCTGCGGCCCGTGGTGGTAGACTGGACCTCCCAGTACACAATAGAGTACGACCAGACGTCCGGCTCAGGATACCAGCTGGTGTAGCGCGGTGAAGGAGAAGACGGCGCGAGAGGGAGAAGAGGGGAGAGGTTTTCCTGAAGTGCTGCTCAAGCGGGACCATCTCCTTCACCGAGACTGCAAACCTCACCCAGTCAGGAGAACGCATGCTGTCATTGGTTACCGTCACCAACTCCACCCGAGACGCAGGGACACGAGAAACAGGAAGAGGAGGAGTTTAATGACATCAGAGGCAGACGCAGTACAACCCACTCTCCCCGATTGGTCGGCAGAGACGTTTGTGGTTTGTTTCGCACATCGACTGCTTTTTGGTTACGTTCGTTTAACGTTGGTTTTCTTCCTGTGACCCCTTTTTTGTTGCTTGTAAAGTGATATCGGATCTGCGTAAGTCCTGGTTCAACCTGGAACTTTGCGTAGGAATGAGAATTAGCATAGCAAAAGCGTCAGCCGCTGTGGTGTTTGTGGTTTTAAGGAATCGTTCTGGCCAAAATTAGACTTTTATTATTATTTATTCATCCTCATGTCGCATCAAACCTGTATGACTGACTTTCTTACGTGGAACATAAAAGAAGATGTTTAGCAGAATGTTCGGGCTGCTCTTTTTCTTATAAGTAAAAAGCGTTTTTTTGTTTTTTCCCCCCAAAATTTCTATGCAGAAAGTAATACGCATAGATGTTTGGAACGACATGATGATTAGTAAATAACACAACTTTACATTTTTAGGTGAATGATTCCTTCAAGCTGCCTTGATTTGTCTGATCATGAATCCGATCAAAACAGGCATCATATTGATATGCATTCATATGACTAGAGAGATGCCCTGTTTAAATAATGTGACTTAACATATTTATTTTAACCTATTTATGTAGTATTTTTCGAAGAGTAATTATGGTATCATGAGGTAATTTTACATCTTCATTTCCACATATGTGTACATTTGCAGCATGTTTAATAGTTTAGGTGGAGTGGATCCTACGGAACGTGTCAAGAAGATAAAGCCGGGTCATATTTCACCCCAAAATCAAAAGAAAAACATATTAGATTATATTTTGGTTAGAGAAAATGAAGCCTGTTTAATAGTTTTTGCATTGTATTATTGTTTTCATGACAGTTAAACACATTTTCCCCATAATTCTCATTAACAACATGCACAAAAACCTCCTCATTACTGTATTTAAATATCAAAGTATTTATATTATATTGCCTTTAAATGATGCTATTTTTTAAAATCATTGTATTACAGCCGTTGTTTACTGTAAAACAATTAAAAAACACTATTACAATGAGAATTATAGCAAAAACGTCTGAACACATTATGGTAATGAGCACTGGGAGAGAAGTGTGCAGAATTTACATCAGTTTAATGCTAAAATAATGCAGAACAATCTTCATTTTCATATTATATATTTTAACACATACTTTTTTATTTTATAAATAATTTTTTTTGTAATTAATTTACATACACACATATATACATATATATATATTATTTAATTTTTTTTTTACATTTTAGGTTGAAATGTGACCTGGACACGTTCTTGATGCGTTTATGAGAGTAATCCAGGTGCCCTCTGAATTTACAAGAAATAGCACACTCGTTTGTGAACCTCTATATTTATTATGTATGTGTAGTTTAAGGAAGTATATACATTTAAAGTTGAAATGCTGTTGAAAAGCCATTAAGTGGACCTGTGATAGCTGTATGAACTTAAAAGAAGATGCTGTTTAACACACCAGAGGGGCTCCTTCCATGATTTACCCTTTTTTTTTTTGTTTGTTTTGTGGCAGCGACATTATTCGTCTGCCTAAAACAATGCACTGATCTTTTTTTAGTTTTGTTCGTCGTTACTAAAGAAACAAGCTAGTTTCCCCAGCGTCGCCAAGGGATCTTCATGTTTACGTAAAAAGAGGAAGCTCCTCCCCCTTTTGCTCTCCATTTCCTCTTCCTGTTGGTGTGGCGTTGTCATGGCAGCAGCAGCTGACAGGATGAACTGATGTAAAGAATGTGCATCTGTACATAAATGAACTAGATTAATTATTCTGTGAGTGACTTTTCGTTCGTTTTTTTATTTTCGTCTGTGTTAGTTGAAGCTGCTCCTAATTTTTTTTATCGTACCAAAAAGCGAAAAAACAAAAAAATGGACTATTATCAAAGTGTATGACTGTAGCTTTTAGTGGCGTCTGGCACTGCTGTGTATAGACCTTTGACCTTGCAGGTCTCCACTGCATGTGTGAAGCCTGGACATAGTGATCACCCTGTCATCCAAAAAATCATCTATTATCCAAGTGTATGACTGTAGCTTTTAGTGGCGTCTGGCACTGCTGTGTATAGACCTTTGACCTTGCAGGTCTCCACTGCATGTGTGAAGCCTGGACATAGTGATCACCCTGTCATCCGAAAGACGCCCCATCTGTAAATAGTGAATGTTCAGTATTTGCAACCAGGTTTTTTTTTTTTTTTAATTCTTTTTTTGTTTGTTTTTACATTTGAAACCCGATGTGTGTATCGTTCTTGCGTGTCCCTCATGCTCTGCGGCCGATCGGTGCTCTGCAGATGTATTATATCTGAATGTCCCATTCTCGTTGATTATTATGCAGAGCCTAAAGGGTTTCTTTTGTATGTTTCATTGCTGAGTTTGTTGTACCACTGGATGTACAAACTGTAAATGCCAGAGAAGTAGACATAAGCCACGCTGTAACTCAAGCGGACGCGGTCCATGGGCCCCATACTGTAATATTCAGATTAGGCACAGTGACGGTCATTCATTCATTCATACATGTGACACTGTTTTTAGAGAATATATTCACTCTGTTGTTCCTCTGCCGGCTGTTTTCCCACCATGTGAAAAGCACATGCTCATCTCCAGTGCCTCAGCTGAGATCAGGACGTCACCCTACTCTGCTTCAGATGTAACTTATTGGGCATGGTTCAATTTTATTGGCTTTATTAATAAAAGTGTTTATTAACATGTTTGTTTTCTAAATGTAGATACTCATACAATGACTACTCTATGAACCATTAACGGCAGTAAAGGAGTAAAGGGAAGAATATTTTGCATAAAGAAAATTAACCTCATTTTTAGGGCCATTTTTTGACATGATTGACATTTTCCCAAATTTTCATTACTGTAATTCAGTATTTTATTAAAATCAAATTCATACAATTTATTTATATTAAATAATTGTATTATTCATTCTAAATTTATTTTTTAAATGTTTTTACATTATGGTAATTATAATTGTGCTTAATTGTAATGAAAATATAACACTTAATGGTCCTCTATAAACAATTAATACTCTGTAAAGGTTTAACAAATATTTAGCATATTGCGTGCAGAAAAATAACTTTTTCAAAATAAAAAAAGGATTGGGAAATGTTCCTAAATTCTCATTACTGTAATGCAGTAGATATTTTGTTGTTTTACAAAAAATATAATATTATATAAAAAATAATTGTATAGAAAATAAAATAATTTATTATTGGGTGGGGGGGGTGCAATTAATGGTCCTCTATGAACAGTATTATAAAAATAATATTTTGCATAAAGAAAATTTACCTTATTTCTTAGTATTACAGAAAAAAATATGATACTTAAAATCAACAAATTCTTATATTTTATATAAAATGCTTTATATTATTAAGTACTTAATATAAGTTATTTAAAATCAATGTTTTACATTTATGGTAATGAGAATTGGAGAGGAAATGTGCTTAATTTTCATGAAAATATAACGCTTAACGGCCTTTATCTTAATTTTCCTTTATGCAAAATAATCATTCTCTTCTTTTGAAATGAGTAACAACCTTGTGTTTATGATAGTAAAGAAACATGCAAAGTCCTGACTATCATTGAGCGTGAACCAGAGCTCCTGCTCCCTGACCGTATCCAAATCCTTTTGGTCCAAAGTTCTTTGCATAACATGCTGAAAAAAAGACACGAAGAAGAAATGAAGCACAAATGTAGTGAATTAGTGAGCGATGTGTCATAGAAGAGGTTTGCCTTCAAAACTGATGAGCCTTCAGTTCAGATGTTGTGTCATTACAGCAGACTAAACGCTAACTCTTGATCGTAATCATTCAAGAGTTTCTGGTTGCTCCGTTATCAGAGGAACATCCTGCATGTATATGACAAACAAACACTGTGGCCTCAAAACCATGAGCTTCAGATGCTGGTCACGATGCTTTATGGAATATTTCAGTTTATTCTTTATCTTAACGGGACAGTTTGGCAAAAAACTAAAAAAAAAGTGCTGTTAATTTGCTCATTAAGGCGGTGGATCCCTCCAAACAAACAATATCTAAAAATAGGTGTTTTGACGGGGAATTAGGAGGAAACCAAGAACTAAACTGTTTTCTTCACAGCTGTTAACCCTGAGAAGGCAGCTGGTTTTTGGTTTAAAGTCAGGGATACTGAAGAGTCATCATTAAGAAGGAAAAGACAAGGATCAGGATCAAGCGTCAGCTCCAAAAGTGGTGATTAAAATAGCGGAGACATTAACCTTAAAGTTGAAGATCTGGGGACATTCCCAGAATAGTGTTACATTTGTCCCACACAGGAAGAAATAAGTTTCATCCTAAAACATTTCAAGGGTGTATAATATATTCTATGAACTACACTGTAGTTTATCAGCTGGTGGGTGGGATTTTTAGACGAGGTTGAAATATTTTGCCATATTATTTCCTAATCAATGACCGGAAGGTGAGTAAATTAACAGTAAATTAAATTTTTGGGTGAACTATCCCTTTAATGTTGTCTATTACCACTGAGACTCATTTAGATCAGGAGTGTCGAACCCAATTAAACTCGACAGAAATCTGACCTTTGCAGTAGATTTCTCCATCTTTCTCCGTCTGAGTGGTCGACTCCAAACTCTTCCCACATTTGGCACAGCGAAAGCAGTTCTTGTGCCACGGCTGGAAGAAAGACGAGAGAAGAAAACCATGCCGTCATGAAGCTCAGATAAAGAAAAGAGGAGTCTAACCAGCTGACATCAAGTGCTCATGACTTCCTGATGATTAAACCGAGAAAGACAGAAACTGGACGAAACGCTAAACACTCGCATCTGCTGAAGAGGTTTTTTGGCAGCGGATGTGTACAAGCGTCTGCAAACCCTCATGAAGACAAAGAAAGTGTCAAACCTGATGTAAAGAATGTGCATCTGTACATAAATGAACTAGATTAATTATTCTGTGAGTGACTTTTCGTTCGTTTTTTTATTTTCGTCTGTGTTAGTTGAAGCTGCTCCTAATTTTTTTTATCGTACCAAAAAGCGAAGAAAAAAAAAATCATCTATTATCCAAGTGTATGACTGTAGCTTTTAGTGGCGTCTGGCACTGCTGTGTATAGACCTTTGACCTTGCAGGTCTCCACTGCATGTGTGAAGCCTGGACATAGTGATCACCCTGTCATCCGAAAGACGCCCCATCTGTAAATAGTGAATGTTCAGTATTTGCAACCAGGTTTTTTTTTTTTTTTTATTCTTTTTTGTTTGTTTTTACATTTGAAACCCGATGTGTGTATCGTTCTTGCGTGTCCCTCATGCTCTGCGGCCGATCGGTGCTCTGCAGATGTATTATATCTGAATGTCCCATTCTCGTTGATTATTATGCAGAGCCTAAAGGGTTTCTTTTGTATGTTTCATTGCTGAGTTTGTTGTACCACTGGATGTACAAACTGTAAATGCCAGAGAAGTAGACATAAGCCACGCTGTAACTCAAGCGGACGCGGTCCATGGGCCCCATACTGTAATATTCAGATTAGGCACAGTGACGGTCATTCATTCATTCATACATGTGACACTGTTTTTAGAGAATATATTCACTCTGTTGTTCCTCTGCCGGCTGTTTTCCCACCATGTGAAAAGCACATGCTCATCTCCAGTGCCTCAGCTGAGATCAGGACGTCACCCTACTCTGCTTCAGATGTAACTTATTGGGCATGGTTCAATTTTATTGGCTTTATTAATAAAACATTCGAAGGTGAAAGGCCTGTGTGTGCATCTGTACATAAACTAACTAGATTCATTATTCTGTGAGTGACTTTCGTTGTTTTTTTTGTTTGTTTTTTTCGTCTGTGTTAGTTGAAGCTGCTCCTAATTTTTTTTATCTTACCAAAAAGCGAAAAAACAAAAAAATGGACTATTATCAAAGTGTATGACTGTAGCTTTTAGTGGCGTCTGGCACTGCTGTGTATAGACCTTTGACCTTGCAGGTCTCCACTGCATGTGTGAAGCCTGGACATAGTGATCACCCTGTCATCCGAAAGACGCCCCATCTGTAAATAGTGAATGTTCAGTATTTGCAACCAGGTTTTTTTTTTTTTTTTTAATTCTTTTTTTGTTTGTTTTTACATTTGAAACCCGATGTGTGTATCGTTCTTGCGTGTCCCTCATGCTCTGCGGCCGATCGGTGCTCTGCAGATGTATTATATCTGAATGTCCCATTCTCGTTGATTATTATGCAGAGCCTAAAGGGTTTCTTTTGTATGTTTCATTGCTGAGTTTGTTGTACCACTGGATGTACAAACTGTAAATGCCAGAGAAGTAGACATAAGCCACGCTGTAACTCAAGCGGACGCGGTCCATGGGCCCCATACTGTAATATTCAGATTAGGCACAGTGACGGTCATTCATTCATTCATACATGTGACACTGTTTTTAGAGAATATATTCACTCTGTTGTTCCTCTGCCGGCTGTTTTCCCACCATGTGAAAAGCACATGCTCATCTCCAGTGCCTCAGCTGAGATCAGGACGTCACCCTACTCTGCTTCAGATGTAACTTATTGGGCATGGTTCAATTTTAATGGCTTTATTAATAAAACATTCGAAGGTGAAAGGCCTGTGGGTTAGTTTTCAATAGCACTGCACGACAGAAGCAAAGTGCACTGAAACAAGTGTTTATTTCACATTGAACATGTTTGTTTTCTAAATGTAGATACTCATACAATGACTACTCTATGAACCATTAACGGCAGTAAAGGGTGAAAAAAAAAAAAAGAATATTTTGCATAAAGAAAATTAACCTCATTTTTAGGGCCATTTTTTGACATGATTGACATTTTCCCAAATTTTCATTACTGTAATTCAGTATTTTATTAAAATCAAATTCATACAATTTATTTATATTAAATAATTGTATTATTCATTCTAAATTTATTTTTTAAATGTTTTTACATTATGGTAATTATAATTGTGCTTAATTGTAATGAAAATATAACACTTAATGGTCCTCTATAAACAATTAATACTCTGTAAAGGTTTAACAAATATTTAGCATATTGCGTGCAGAAAAATAACTTTTTCAAAATAAAAAAAGGATTGGGAAATGTTCCTAAATTCTCATTACTGTAATGCAGTAGATATTTTGTTGTTTTACAAAAAATATAATATTATATAAAAAATAATTGTATAGAAAATAAAATAATTTATTATTGGGTGGGGGGGGTGCAATTAATGGTCCTCTATGAACAGTATTATAAAAATAATATTTTGCATAAAGAAAATTTACCTTATTTCTTAGTATTACAGAAAAAAATATGATACTTAAAATCAACAAATTCTTATATTTTATATAAAATGCTTTATATTATTAAGTACTTAATATAAGTTATTTAAAATCAATGTTTTACATTTATGGTAATGAGAATTGGAGAGGAAATGTGCTTAATTTTCATGAAAATATAACGCTTAACGGCCTTTATCTTAATTTTCCTTTATGCAAAATAATCATTCTCTTCTTTTGAAATGAGTAACAACCTTGTGTTTATGATAGTAAAGAAACATGCAAAGTCCTGACTATCATTGAGCGTGAACCAGAGCTCCTGCTCCCTGACCGTATCCAAATCCTTTTGGTCCAAAGTTCTTTGCATAACATGCTGAAAAAAAGACACGAAGAAGAAATGAAGCACAAATGTAGTGAATTAGTGAGCGATGTGTCATAGAAGAGGTTTGCCTTCAAAACTGATGAGCCTTCAGTTCAGATGTTGTGTCATTACAGCAGACTAAACGCTAACTCTTGATCGTAATCATTCAAGAGTTTCTGGTTGCTCCGTTATCAGAGGAACATCCTGCATGTATATGACAAACAAACACTGTGGCCTCAAAACCATGAGCTTCAGATGCTGGTCACGATGCTTTATGGAATATTTCAGTTTATTCTTTATCTTAACGGGACAGTTTGGCAAAAAACTAAAAAAAAAGTGCTGTTAATTTGCTCATTAAGGCGGTGGATCCCTCCAAACAAACAATATCTAAAAATAGGTGTTTTGACGGGGAATTAGGAGGAAACCAAGAACTAAACTGTTTTCTTCACAGCTGTTAACCCTGAGAAGGCAGCTGGTTTTTGGTTTAAAGTCAGGGATACTGAAGAGTCATCATTAAGAAGGAAAAGACAAGGATCAGGATCAAGCGTCAGCTCCAAAAGTGGTGATTAAAATAGCGGAGACATTAACCTTAAAGTTGAAGATCTGGGGACATTCCCAGAATAGTGTTACATTTGTCCCACACAGGAAGAAATAAGTTTCATCCTAAAACATTTCAAGGGTGTATAATATATTCTATGAACTACACTGTAGTTTATCAGCTGGTGGGTGGGATTTTTAGACGAGGTTGAAATATTTTGCCATATTATTTCCTAATCAATGACCGGAAGGTGAGTAAATTAACAGTAAATTAAATTTTTGGGTGAACTATCCCTTTAATGTTGTCTATTACCACTGAGACTCATTTAGATCAGGAGTGTCGAACCCAATTAAACTCGACAGAAATCTGACCTTTGCAGTAGATTTCTCCATCTTTCTCCGTCTGAGTGGTCGACTCCAAACTCTTCCCACATTTGGCACAGCGAAAGCAGTTCTTGTGCCACGGCTGGAAGAAAGACGAGAGAAGAAAACCATGCCGTCATGAAGCTCAGATAAAGAAAAGAGGAGTCTAACCAGCTGACATCAAGTGCTCATGACTTCCTGATGATTAAACCGAGAAAGACAGAAACTGGACGAAACGCTTCACACTCGGATCTGCTGAAGAGGTTTTTTGGCAGCGGATGTGTACAAGCGTCTGCAAACCCTCATGAAGACAAAGAAAGTGTCTGTAAACTGTAAACTGGAGGTGAACTTCTGAACCCGGTGACGTCTGTGTAAATGTGTTCAACTTAAGAGTGAATCATACAGGTGATGTGCGTTATGCATAATACACATGTAATAATATTATATTTATTAAGTTGAATGCATATCAGCATATCATTAATTAAAACCTTTTTTTTTTTTAAATCCATTACTTGAAACAAAACAAATTAAAATAAAATTATAATTTAAAATATAAAAATTTATAAAACAACCATATATATTAAATACATTTATAATTGTATTTATTTTAGTTATTTCAATACTTTAAGTCAGTCTAATCAAAAATGAGAAATATGGCAACAAGATTAAATAAGTTTTTTTTTTAATTATCGTTTAGTTAACGGTAGTAACCCTGATATAGTTAAATGTTAATATAATATAATTTTATTATATATACTAATATATATTATTAACAAAAACTAAGTGATGATATAGGTACATCAATGAACTACAATTCATTTTGTGATTCTAGAGGTTTTCTTTTTTGTTGTTGTTAGCATTTTAATTAAGTTAGGTTTTTTTGTTGTTGTCGTTTTGCTTTATTTAAAAGTAATTCTATTAGATCAATTATATTAAATCCCTGGCCCTGTGGTTGAAAACCACTGATCTAGATCAACAAATATCAAGAAACCTTAATAAACATGTTTCTTAATTCTCGAAATATTTGAAATCATTTCGAGTGTCGGTGTGATTGGGAACAGTTTGCTCTTATTGCTGTAACAATGTTCTCCATTGACGTGCATTGATACTGGTATGTGCAAGTGGACAGTAAAGACTGATGTTGACA